TGAGTTAGAAACGAATTATGAAAGACGTTGGTTTAAGTAAATGAGATATAAGGTCATGAATTAATTTATGACATTACTCATACTAACATTAAAAAATAAGAGAGTATATCTTTTAGAGGAGATGTAGACACTCTTTTCTCTTTTCTCTCCTTTCTCATCTCATCGTACAGATGCATAACTCTATGCATGTACATATAATTATTTGTGCTCATGTATGTGTATATGAATACATGTATGTATGTCTATATAAATGGTTGAACTATGTATTACGATTAAATGATAAAAAAACAAAACAATTAACCATATATTTCTATAAAAGAACACAATGCCAACCTGCCAACCATGACTTTTGTTGTTTTATGTTGCTTAAATGCAGGTGCACACAGACCCACAAGAACATATATGGAAAAATCCTGCTGGTACTTTTCACTAGAAACCAGAACAGGAAAGAATTTATTTGATCTCAATTTCCCACATTTAACCTTTGCAACAAGCTTTGTGATTCACTCTTAGTTTGGCATTGGATCACTATAATAATATTTGTTGGTCAGCTGCCAAATTTCATAACCAGTTGTTGCCATGTTCTTATTTCAAGCAGTGGAATTTTTTTCCCTTATTTTATGCAATTAAATTCAGAATTTTCAAGAATAGTAAAACCAGATATCTGATTATACTGGATAATCTATCATACAGTACGTATTTTACATTCCTCCTGCACACTTTGTGTTTTCAGTCGTCATTATCCTTAGATCTTAGTGTTAGTGTGACAGTCTGCACTTGGGATAGTGCTTTTGTCAGTGTTAAGAGTATTTATCACTGTCATACTCCATCACCCAGGAGACCAGTAAGAACCTTTCCTGTTCCAGCTCTTTATTCACCACATCTCAGATGGAGAAAATAGCTTTTTCCCCACACTGTGTAACTGTCACTAACAAAACCCCACCTGCTGGCAACATAATAAACTCTGGTTTTAGAGGCCCTGAGTAATTTAGAAATGTATATAATTCTGGATTAATGAGGGATTATGTTGGGATAGCGCCAGGCTCGCAATGTAATTTGTCACAAGTATGGGAAAACAACAATATGCATGCCCAAAGCCTTTGGTAATGAAAGCATATGGAAGAAATTTGATGCCAAGTGGGGCTGATTGTCTGTCATTTGCTTGTAGTAAGAGGGCAAATATAGGATCATGAAATTCATCAAATTTGAAAGTCTGCCTTTTAAAGAAAAACCTGAGATAAAATTTCACGGTGCACACCAGCCGTGGGATTCTGTCACAAACCAAAATGCTGTTAAAAATAAACGAAGATTCAACGTGGAGTGGTGTGTGTTCCTGGAGTGCTCCAGGAAAATGTTAGTTTGCTCTGGCATTATTCTGAGGGGATTATCAAACATGAAAGCAGCAGGAGTCACCTTGACAATGCCGTAAAATTGGTCTTGCTCATCAAACATAGCGAACCAAATTGAGAGTGCAT